TAAATTGATGAAACTCATCTTGATAAGTACGATTTCATCTGGACCGGAGTAACAAAAAATGTGTTGTCCTTGACGGATATGTTGTCCAAAAATACGAGGTTAGCGAAAACATTGCGTAGGCAGGTGCGAACACAGAGGGGGAGTGAATTAGGAGTTCCCCCTGCCCTCGAAACTACCCTAAAATATATTATACAGCTATGACCTTACCTACAAATTTAATAGTTATTTCAAAGTACCCCATAAGGTTTGAAAATAAAATATATAATTATGTGTAAACTCATATATCATATAATGAGTAATAAAGCATAATATTCAACAATATTTTAAATTTTGCATTTTTACAAAACCACTTGACATTTTTTCTTACTCTCGTCTCTTTGCATATGATCAAAGGCATGCGCAGACCTGTATTACAGAGAGTACCCACAATACTTTTGTGCTCTATCTTAACAAAACGTGTAGATTTATTTAATAAATTATAATGTATAAATAATTAAATAAACATAACTTTAATTTTATATTTAACATTGTGGTATATTAGTTTCAGTAAATATATTTCCCTCGAATCTCGTTTATTTTTTACAGATAATTTGAATTATTTATGATTTGTACTTTTTTAGTCATTGTAGCTGTTATATTATCATAATATAATAAGTTTTTGAATGAAAATTTAGAAAATTAAGTTTTATTTTTCTTATTACAAAACATAATTTATTTTTTATCAAATATTTTAGAATGAATTATATTTAATTTGAGCAAAAATAGCTTAAATATGGGCTCCTTGCTCTTAGAATTATATCGTAGGGCCTCATTTACAATATTTCGGGAGGCGCTCGAGCACACCCGGCAGCGAAATTGTAAACGATATCACGGCGGCTCCTAAATATGCCGACTCCTTTCACTATGCACACATGCAACGGCAATCCCCCCCCCCTTGGTGTACACATCTATACATATGATATTGTTGTCGAAAATCTTAAGGTCATAATCGACTAGTGGGCAAAGCTGTTGACGAGATAATATTTTTTTGTTGTATTTTTGGTCGAACATTGCAAATAATATTTCAGGAAATTATTTTTTATTTTATTTCCATACATAAACCATTTATTTCTGTGTTAATATTTTGGGTAATTTTATCTCCAGATAATCACAGAGTATACTACGGGACAATTCCCCGCCTTGAGAACAGCACCTGCACAGTCGGCCATGGTGCATCTGATCGAACGCGAAGGATACACGTCGCTGGTGGCGGACGTATTCACCAAGGAATCGACCATACCGGAGACCGTCAACGAAGTGTTCAGGGCGTTCATAACGATGATCGAGTTAAAGCACAGCACAATGGAAGAAATCATTACATATTTGATGCCTGACGATTTTCAAACCAGCACGTGGGACTTTGAGCATGCGTCTCAAATCACTACGGATGATACGATCACCGAGACGGTCGACATCAGCGAAGCGGCCAACATATTAGTCCACGGTGGGTTTCATTTGATGAATTTTATCGTTAACTTGTTTTTCAGACATTGTTTTTGGGTTCACACACATTATAATAAGAAATTAAATACAAGGACGTTTTTGAAATGTAATTCTTAAGGTAGACAGTGTGTCTATTAGTAGTATTATAGTCTATTATATATTATAGTATATTATATAGTGTATTCACACGCCACGTGCTAACATGTCTTCACACGCCATACCGTGGTAATACGTGTTATATGATACTGTACAAATTATATACATCGTAAGGGATAGGTTAGGTAAGGTTAGGTTAAGTTAGATTACCATGCATAGTAAAATATGTAAAATTTATGCTTTAAAAATTATTAAACTATTAAAAAAAATCATATAAAGATTTATGAACACATACATTTTCAATCTAATTTTCATTGAAATGATAAACGAAAAATGACGTAATTAACTTTGTTGTTCTTCACACGTCATACGTTTTTCAAAATTGTTTGAAACGCATGGCGTGGAATACAATGGAAATGCGTTGCGTGTTACAAATATGATCACAAAACCGATTGATATTTAAAAACAAATGGGGTAATAGTGATTAAAAATTTGCGGCGTGTTAGTGTATGGCATGTAAAGGCGTATTAACACATGGCGTGTGAATAGTGTTTTACTTTTAGACTTTCTCAGTACCTTTAAACGTAAGAGAAACCGCAAAAGCTTTTTTGCTGAGCGAACGCGATTTTGATTTACATTTCTTTAAATTAATTACATTTGTATTTTGCATGAGGATTTTTACCATAAAATATTTTATGTATTAGATGATATTATCTCAATGAATCGTTCAGTATCTGTAACACAGCAGAATATATTTTTTTCAAAAATAAATCATTAATAAAATAATAAAACCTCACTGGACGGAGTATAATGACTTAAGGGTTTTAGAAATCAGACGTTTCGGCACAATGTATTTTTATTTTGTTCCTATACCGAGTATATTGCAATTTCTATGCGTTTTTTTATTATTTATGAAATCATTAATAAATCGTACAACCCTGACGCTATTTCAATAATATTTTTTGATACAATTTACTCGTATATGACTATTTCTGGGTATATAAATAGTTTTATCAGTGGAAATATTGCAATATTATATTTTGTAATTTTGATTTAATTAAATTGGATTCGGTTAATTGTAAGGTATTCTAAAACGGTTTTATTTTGATTTTCAGAAGTTAAGAAGAAAACACGTTCGACGAAGAGAGTAGTTAAAACCAGCGAAGATATTACGTCAATTGGTATGTACTTATTTATTAATTTATACTATACAAATATTATATATTTAGTTTACTTACACACTATTTCTGCAATTATATTTAATACGAACTATTGTTTACATTTTTATTGTTCTTCATATTATAAAATGTATAGAATTAATATTTCAGCTTCAACAAAATATTAAAAATATTTTAAGCAGCTTTTGTCAACACGTACATGTTTAAATAGCTTATTTTAACGCTATTTTAATCAAAGTACTATGATTAATGATATTGGTTTATAAAACCATAATATTACTAATTGGTAAGTTTATTTATTTTAACTTCGCAAACTTGTGTGTGGCGCATATGTGTGAACTGTGGATGCTAGGCCGTAACTTGGGAACTTTTTAATAGTGAAAATTGTTTTTGAAATTTATAGAATATCAATATTTTATATATCAAAAATAATAAATGTGAATAGACTTTGAGGGAAATGCAACCTTAAATTCTCCCAAGTTTCGGCTTTCTATTAAAAACCTTGATTTTATTAAGTGTTAAGGTTTTCAAATATATCTTGAGAATTTCTATTAATAATTATATTTTAATTTGCTATACCTTATTGTATTCAATAACTTTGATTTAATGATAAGTATAAATCAAATTATTTTTACTAAATGTTTACCTAACTAACAAACAAACTTCAATGATGACGATTTCACTTGCATGTTTTAATTTGTCATTGTTATAATCCAATTTATTAAAAATAAAATTATATAACAGTATTATAAATGTATTTTGGTGGGTTCTAATATTTTCAAAGTTGTCTGATTTCGATTATATTCGTGATTGTGAATTTTTATTAATTATAATACGACACATAATTAATAAATTATATTTAACAAATTTTGGTCAGATTCGTTGTGTAAAAATAACTATTGCGATAGCAATAACATAATATTTGGTTACTAAGTTTTAAACCATCTTAGATCCATTGGACATTAGTTTAAGTGATAACTAACACTTTTACTTATTTACTTATTTGTTTATTTATAATGGCCAATAAATATTTCTGAACTCTTTATTTCATTTTTTGATATATTTAAATATTGCAACTGCGTCAAATTTTTATAATGTTTACTGAACTTACTGATGAAAAATATTCAACAATATGAATATTATTGAATGAAATACCAAATAATTTTAATTTATAATTTATTTTCATTGTTAAAATATTTTAATTTTTTTTTTTTTTTTAATTAAAAAGAAAAAAGGCTTTCGGTATTAAGTATAAAAAGGGTACATAAGAAGTATTAAAATGTTCATATTACAAATACATTTATAAAAATAAATACTGTTAATGTTACTTTTTATCTTTAAATCTGTGCTAGTGATGTCTTGATCAAATGCTCTCATCATTGTTTTTGTGTTGATTGTTTATTACGCTATGTTCTTAAATATTCTTCCTCGGCACTTCTTCGACTATCACTATCTTTTGCTGCATTTCTAAATGGAATCTACGTTAATCTTGATAAACTTAACAAATTGTTAACTTCTTTGGTTTATCCACAGAAACAGATCAAGAACAGAAAAATACGGACGATAACAAAGTGATGATTACTGAAATTATTGACAACGTCGAGATAATCGATGATACGATTGACAAAGGTGTGAAAATGAAAAAAAATGAAAAAGATTTATACAAACGCCGAAGTATAGAAGAAGAAGATATCATAACAGAAAAAAAGAAAACTGTTATAAGAAAAATTAAAGAAAAACGTCCAAGTATAGGAGAAGAAACCATTCCTTATGAAACGACATATGAATTTAACGTAGAAAAATATCCAGCTATAGTTCCGACAATTTTGAAAACTCCTAAGACTATAAATGAAGCAAATGCACAGCAAGAAGTTGTTGAGTTATCTACAGATAATAAGTATACGTGTGATAAAGCTCAAATAAACATAATATCTCGAAGTGCAGCCGAAAGCATTGTAACACAAGTCGAAGAAAAAGAAGAAAATAGAAAAGAAAAATTAAATATTAAAACAAGTACAGCAAATGCAGTTTTGGAAGTTAGCGAAGGCTTTACAACAGACTATCCGGATACTCAATCGCCGCTGGAAGACATTGCTAAATCTTTCGATATTGTTCCAAGTGTTGCAAAAAAAGATATTATACCACAGGAAAGTATAACTATTAGTGAAATTTATCCAGATCAAACGTTAGATGAAAGAATTGAGCACATACAACAAAATAAGGAAGCGAAGGTTACTGTAATTTCACATTCTCAAAAAGTAGTTACAGAATTAATAGCATCTGTGAAAGAAGGAGACATTAAACATGAGTTAATACCACAAAAGAAAAAAGCTACTCAAGATTTTGTCGAGCATGAAAGTGTTAATGTTGTGGAAGTAAATGAAGCATATACTGAAGGTCAGTTGGAAAATGATATTAAACCAACACCAGTAAAATCGTCCATCGACTATTCCCTAAATGAACAGTTAATTGTTAGTGAATTACATTCAGAAATTCAACCTGAAAAGTACTATCCTGAAATAATAGTGCCCACTGAAGTGGCTGAAAAATTAATAGTACCATCAAATAGTGCTATAATGACATATGAAGTAGAAACGTCAGAAAAAGAAGCAAAATATAATCCATCACAATTACCTTTAGGATTTAAAGTAGATATTTCAATGATTCCAGAAAAATGTATTCAAGTAAGTGAAGAAAACATTCAGGATAAGGAAGCCAAATTGCTAGAAGATAGAAAACCAGAAAAAACTTTTGCAGTTTCCGAAATAATCGAACAGTCGGGATTAATCGTAAATTCTGTTAATCAACATGAGAGTGAAGAAACGTTCATTTCCCATTTACCCGAATCTCAAACCGCAATTTTAAAGTTAAATACTGCAAATAAAGTGTGTACTTCATCAATTATAGAAATGAACGAAGCAGAATCTAATTTGAATATTCCAGTAATTCCAGAAATGAAACAAATAAAAAGCTCTGTCTTAGGTCTGGAAGTACCAGATGTGACTGAAGTTATAGCAAACGAAACAGAATCCTCTTTTACATTAGAATCAACACCAGAAATATTACCTGATACAAGTTTTACTGAAAGTTACTCATATATAGTAACTGAAACACGAACAGGAGATCATTCTAACGATTTCGATACTACTCTTAAATATGACGTACGCAAGGCTACATCGAATTTCGAAGAAATGGAAGCTAAACAAATATCTCAAGCAAACGTACAAGAGAGCAATGTCCCGTTCTATGAATCTTCAAAACCTACATCGATATTGCCAGAAACAAGTTTTGCTCCTATTCAGAGTATAACTGTAGAACAGACGGTTGTCGCTGAACAAGAACAAGCATTAATTTTAAAAGCTAATCCGGAATTTCATAAATCGAAATTTGTTCCAACACATACTCTACAAGCTGTAACGATAGAACAAATCACTCCTGAAAATCGTGTTGATAATATTAGTGATACGTTTAAAGATTGTCAGCCAACAAAAAAAATAGCAAACGTCAATTTTGTTGATGACCAGAGTATAATTGTCAAAGAAATTTCGACTTTTGAGTCAGAATGTGATCTAATGATTGATGATAAACCAAAAAATGTTCACGCAAAACCAAAATATTCTGGTCATGATGTAGCTGAAACAACAGAAGTTACTTCAAGTGACACCGTTGAACAATTAAATGTAGAGAGAATTGTAAACGATAAAGCAAAAATTGAGCATGTGCCGTACGAAACTGCTGTGTCAGAAGTGACATCTGTAAATGAATTCGAAGACGTTTTATTAGATAATGAAAATAAACAATTAAAAACTGTAAATATAGTAATTGATGAGGTAATTGGTGTAAATATTATAGAACAACCAATTTATGAAAAAGAAACAGAGGCAATTGAAAAAGCTGCTCCTAAAACTAAAAATGCAACAACTGAGTTTGTTCCATTTGAGATTGCCGATCACTCAGAAGTTATAACTGGGGATTATACTTCAGATTTATTACAGCCAGAAGTAACCAAAGTTTATGCTCATCTTAAACCCAGTACACATGAAAGTGTAATTTTATATGAAACTGATATATCCGAAAAAGAAAAAGAATTTTCTGGAAACAAAATACCATTAACCTTTTCAGCAAATACATCTATGGTGATGGAAGAAGCAATAGAAGTTACGGAAATATTGTCTAACGATAGACCTGAATCCATTTCAGTTTCCATAACACCCAAAGAAGAAACCGCACAAGCTAATGTAATACCATTTAAATCTATCGAGAGACATGACATTATACCTTCTGAAAACGTTGAAAACGTCAAAGACCAAAGTAAAATTATAGCATTAGCACATGTATCACAAAATCCATTACATGGTTTGGAAACCAGTTTAATTGTATCAGCAGAATCAGAAAATTTACTAACAGATTTTGTGTTACCTGATTCAAAAAAAGCAGAAACTAAATATGTAGAGTTAGATGTACCAATTAGTGTTGTGGAAATTTTAACACAAGATAAAGAGACAGAATTTAAACCTGAAGAATTACTAACACGCAAATTGGATAAACAAGAAATCGTATTTGATGAAGGTCATATAACATCAGAAACTGTAGTTTGTAGCACTACTACTGATTTTAACCAACTAATTCCACAATCTGTTTATGCGCTGACGTCTGAAAACCCTCAAATCGCTATTGAATCACAAGAGACTGCCCCTCTAGAAAAAGAAGGAATATTTTTAAATGATGATATAACTCAAAAAAGATGTGCTAAAATGTTGTATGAAGAAGTAAAGGGTATTCAAATATCTGAACAAGTACAATTAGAAACCAAAGAGGAAATAATTATGAAAAGTAAACCTATTGAAAGAAAAGGCAATGTAACGATTACAGCACAAGATATTGCAGAAACATCAGAAACTAAAGTAGAAAGTCCCATCGAAGAACTGAAAATAGAATTTCCAAAAGAACAATTAGCTAATATGGTTCAGGATAAAGAAGTTCGAAGCTTTGAAGTATCAGAAATTATTCCACAAGAAACAGAATCTACTTTAGTTGATAATCAACAATATGACTCAAAAATAATAAATGTTTCGATTGAAGATAATATTAGAAGTTGTGTAATTACAGAAATATTGCCCAAAGAAAAGGAAGGCCAGTTTTCTGAACAACTAAAACCAATTCAACATCATGCTGAAGAAGAAATTTTAAGTTACGAAGGATTACTGGTTAATGAAACTAATGCTTCTATTTGCGAAGAAAAGTTAAACAATTTTGAATACTCAACAAAAGTCGGTAATCAAGTTGTTGAACCCCTGGAAAGTATTCAAATATCTGAAGTAAATGTTCAAGAACTTGAAGATAGTTTAAAAGAATCTATGCAACCACAAATAAAACATGCCACTCCAAGCGTCAATGAAAACGTAGGACTAATTATTAAATCAACAGTCATAAATGATAAGGAAAATATATTAACAATTGATGAGTTAAAAGCTGAAAATGCTACTAAAGTATCAAATTTAATCGATTATAAAGTACCAGAAAACTTTGAAAAAATCACATTAGAGTGTGTTCAACCAATCAAATATGATCAAAAACAAATGCATAAGGCTTCAACTGAACATGTACTGTTAAAGGGTATCAGTACAACAATAGTAAATACACAAGAAAGTGAAATTAAATTGGAACCTTTAGAAAAAGCTAGTAAAAAAATAGCCTCCCAAGAATTTGAAATGGTATCAACTGTAGACACAACGGAAGTATTTTTAGTCGAATCTGAATCCGATTTGAATCTTACATCGTTACCAAGAAGTCAAATTGCCGTTAGTGATTTATCCGAAACCCAACAAGTAGCATCACATTTTGAGGTATTGCCTCAAAATGCAACACATGATTTAAGAGTTCAAACTTTGCCATCTGTAATCAATTTAATACCCAAACCTACAGAAACTCATAGTTTAGAAGTAACGGAAACAGTTTGCCATGAGACTGAAAAACCTATGAAATCCGAAAAAAATACAACATCAGTTTGTAACTACACAATTCAATCAGACCAAAATATTGAAGTTACTGAAATTATAACTAATGAATCAGAAAAAATATTTGAAGTCTGTGTAAAGAATAAAAGTTCAGAAGCTAATGTAGTTTTTGATCAAAATCAGACACTAACAATCGAAGAAATCCAAACTTCTGATGATATTACTCCATTAATTGAGGATTCGATTAAACCAATCAATGCATCTAAACAGTTGGAGCCTCTATTGGGAGTGTTCGTAACTGAAATTAAAGCAGAGGAGTCTGAAACTCCACAAGAGACACAGCTGAAACCTGCACCGAAATATGTTACTCAAATACTACCAGAAAAACAAAGTTTAAATGTGACGTCGACCATTGTAGTTGAAAAAGAAAGTAAATTAAATAAATTTAAACCAAATGTTACAGAAAATGCTCTAATTTCTTCGGTATACAGCCCAAAATTCGTTGTCGAATCCCAAGAAAATTTTGTACAAATGAGTACGTCTGATTTAAAAACAATTAAACCTAACGAAATATTTTTGGAATCTTCTCAAATTCCATATGATTCAATCAGCCAAATAGAAATAAATCTTTTTGAAAAAGAAAGTACATTAGATACTTCAGTAAGAGGGGAAAAAAAAGTAGCTAACATAAATGTGGATACCATAAATATACTAGATACAACGGAAATCATAACTGGTAATAAAGAATCTGTTTATATTCCTTCAGAAAAACCGAACACAAAACATGCGTTAGTTAATATAACAGATAGTCAACCAGTTAGTAACATTTTTGAAGTAAAAACTGAAGATAGCTCAAGTGAGTTACAAATTCCGACAGTTGTTAGATGCTCTGCAATACCGGGTCAAGAAGTTGTACATGGTGTCACGATAACTGATAATGCAACTCAAGACAAGGAAGAAATATTTGAAGGAAAATTTAAACCTGAGTTTTTAGTAGCAAAAGTAAATATAGAAAATGAAAAAGAAATTAAAACTATAACTGAAATTATACTTCAAGAAATGGAAGGACAAATTAAGACATTAGACTTGCCTTCCGCTAAAAATGCCCAAATAGAAATTACTTCTGGACAAAAAATAGCAGAAAAAACTGAAATAATATCAAATACAGCTTTAGGATCAATTGAAAATATTGTTACTGAATCATCAACCGCCGTTCCAATACAAGAAACTTGTGAAAGTATTCAGTCTACTATAACTGTTCCTGAAGACAAAGAAATGACATTTGATTCAAATTTAATACAAGAGAAGTCAAATGTAAATGTTAATTTTGAAGAATCAGAAAGCATAAACATAACTGAAATAATAGTCGATGATAAAGAAGGCAAGTATGTTGTATCCAACATTCCAAAATTGCAAACGGCTGGAAAAAATATTTTACCGAACGAAGCAACAGAAATAACATTAGTGTTAGCAGACACACATTTAACAGAATTTAATAAATTATTACCAAAAGAAGAATTAGCAACTGTTAAACATGAAACTCATACAAATGTAGCACAGACTGAAACAACTGTACACGATTGCGAAAAATATCTAAAACCAACAAAAATAGTATCGAATAAAGCTGAACTTAAAATGATTCCAAACAAAAGTTTAATAATTACAGAAGTAATCACCGATGATAATGATGAACAATTTATTGCAAAAGAGGATCAAACCTCTCAGCAAGCCATTACATCATTAACAACCTTACGTGAAGTACCACAGGTTTCAGAAATTATTTCATCTATTTCAACTGGTAATGTAATAAATCCTACAGTAAGTACAGACAATGTCTCGGTTTTGCAGTCAGATGTATATGATACAGCCATTTCAACAGAAATAAATGCATTTGAAAAAGAAGAACATTTTACCCAAAAACCTAAAACTGATTTATATACAGCTGAAGTTAAATTTAAAGAAGATAAACCATTAAATGTTTCTGAAACAGTTTCTAACGAAATCGAACAGCCCTTAGAAATAAATAAACCAATAAAAAAATCGGCTGTATTAACTCAGTCAACATTCGATGTTGTTACAATTTCAGAAAATTCTTCAATTGAAAAAGAACAAAGTTTTAATTCAATTAAAATACCAGAAGGCCAGATGGTTAATGTAGCTTTTGAAAGCAATCTCAACGTAGAGGTATCTGAAGTTAATGTCATAGACAAAGAAAATGAATTGTTAACACCTATTCTAAAATCTGATACTGCTACAATACTGGATATCAGTACACAACCAGTTGTAAATATATCAGAAGTAATAACAAGTATGAATGTTAAAGATTTTCCACAATGTAAACAACCAGAACATGCCTTTGCAAAAGAAGCTCATTTGTCATGTCAGAGTCTACTACAAACAGAAGCAGATATCTTAGAATCTGAAGGTGTTTTAGAAAAAATAAAAACAAGCAAGGAAAATGCTTCAATAATAACTGATACATTTGAAAATATAGTAAGTACAGAGCAAGTGGTATCTGAAAAAGAAGGAATACTTAAAGAATTAGAAAAACCAAATTTAAAACACGCACAATGTTCACTAGAAGAAATAAAATCTAGTGTTATTGTTTCAAACATTATCAGTGAAGATAAAGAAATCGAGTTAATTGTTAAATCACAAAAAAACACTTCGAACGCAAAAGTGATAACAGAAAACTTGGAAGTGGTCACAACAACCGAGCAAAATATATCAGAAAAAGAAAGTGACTTAACCATGGATATTCCAAGAAATGAAAATGCTATAGTAACATTTGAAAATACTCAATTAGGAATTTTCGTTTCCGATGTAATACCAGGAGATAAAGAAGATAACTTTTCTATACAAAATAAAACATATTCTGCAGCAACAGTAACAACAGAAAATTATGAAAGTTTGACAACAAATGAACAAATATTGTCAGAAAAAGAAAACGATATGGAACCCATACCTAAAATAGACACCGTAACTGCAAATGTCTCCTTTGAAAAGCTAATGGAAGGAGCTAGTATTTTAGAAATTACAAGTAATGAAAAAGAAAATATTTTTCAAAAGACACGAACAACAAAACCATTATTAGCAAACATGAGCACAGAAGATTTCAAACCAATCATGATATCAGAAAATCAAATGTTGTGTAATGTCGACGAACTTAATTTACCACAAAGAGAAAAAGAAACAGCAGCAAAGATCGTACTAGATAAACTCAATCATCTAACAATTGAAGAGACAATGTTTAATGAAAATGAATTGTCAATAGACACAAAATGTCCTAATAAACTCAAAATAGAACCAATATTTTCAGAGTTGATATCACTAGAATCAAGTGAAATATTTTCTGAAACGAAACCAACCGAAATTAAAAAATTAAAACCAATAGAACATAAAGCAAAAAAAGGAAAACCTATAAAATATAAAAGTATTGAAGTAAATGAAGATATGGTATTAGAAACAGCAAGTGAATTAAATAAAGACACTCCGGACACACAAAGAGCATCAATCAAAGACATCACTATAAGCACAGGTAAAATTACTAATTTAAGACAATTAAATAACCAACGGCAAATACGATAAGCCGCAAAAGTTTAACAAAATTATATTAAAGAAAACATTAATTTTAGTTCTAATGATGAAACAGATTAGAAACAAAATATATAATTAGAGCTTATAATAACATCACAAATACCAAATTCAAGAAGGTATCAATCAATAAAAGCGTTAACAGTATATATATAAAATTAACAAATTACAATTAATACCTAAATAATAATTGATAATTAATAAAAATTTAGATAGCAAAAATATGTAAATAAAAGTAAAAAAATGTAATGAACACAAAAAACACAAAATAATTTAAAAGAAATGTACAAAAAACTGGTAAAAAATAATAATAAATAAATTTGCTGCATAAAGATTCATAATAAATTAAAATTATCATTAAAATCTTTAGAATCACAAAATTAAATAAATATAAAATACACTGTTGCAATATGTTAAGTAGAAAAATACAAAATACTATTTAAAAACATCATATTTCACAACACATAAACACATTATTCCACATATTACAGATGAAACCTCGCCAGCCATACAAGAAGCACAATTAATCACAGCAGAAACACAAACAAACACACACAAACCTATAACAAAAATAAATAAAATTGAACAAGAAAAAATTGAGGAGAATATGCAAGGTGAAGACGAGGCCATTTCCCTAAACAAAAAAACTACTAAAAAGACTAAGGGTGAAAAGAAAAAGGATACGAAGAAGAAGGAAATAAAATTAGAGAGAGATGAGGTAGAAAAAGTTGAGTTAATAGAGTC